CCATCAAATATTCAGCTGATCTGCTGAATGCCAGTGAACTCAACAGGGTCAAAAAGGTTGTCTGGGAAATCAGCAAGAAAAATGAGCTGAACAAGGTTTCAGTGGGGAGCCATTCAAAAGAGCCCTGGATTAAGCCGTTGGTATGCATGTATAAACTAAACAGTCTGATTTTACTACAGTTCCATAAGCGAGGGTTGCCCTCTGTGTTCCCGAGTGCATTATTCCACATGTATGAACTTTCATTGTGACATTGGGCGGCAGTGCAAATCAGCCCTATCCTGTCTACACCTGTCGTTCATACACACCACACACACGCGTGCACACAGACGCGCACAGGGATACACGTGCACGAATGCTCGTGCGTGCATCCATATCCCAGTGGAAAATCACTGGACACTGATCAGCAATGGGAGCTTTCTTATTGTAACCTCTCAACTGCTAGCCCGGCTTAAATTCAGTGAACTCAGTGCAGAGCAGGAATCAATCCTCTCAGCTCAGGTTTGTGCTGAAACATTCAAAGCCATTGGGAAGACCTTTTGCTCCAACGCATCCCTGTAGGTTGCACCTCCTCTCCACATCCAGCTCAGTCGGACTGTCTAACCCAATTACTATTCTCAGTAGCTCAACATTGTGGAATTCTTTACACCCCCAGTCTTCCCTTCCTCCTGCTAGTCATTTTCAGCCTTTTTCACACCCAAATCCTCCAATTCTCTCCTTTCTGTCTCAGCCATGCTCTGCGGCCCTCAACCCTTGACCCAAACTTCTCAGTAAAGGACACATTCCTGGTAAATCTACCTGTGCTCTGAGTATCTGGTTACTTGACACCAATCTCCTCTACGCTGAAGTTCACTGTACTCAGGTAAGATGATCATTCTTGACAGCGCTCTGACCCCACAGTTACATTTCCAAAATGCAATTTCACGTCAAGAGGACCATTGAGGAGAAAGAGCTGCTGCAGATTTGCTGCTGATCCAATTGCACCAACAATACGTCAGGAATCGGCTGTCAGTGAGACACGTGGTAATAAGCAGGAAACATCACACCTTGACTTGGTGATTACTGTAAAGCTTAATTTTCTCTCTTTGCGTCTGTCAAAACCCAGGTGGCTTCTAATAGCCTGGCTTAGTCCCTCACTTGCAAGTTCTCCTCAGGCTCAGAAGATCATGTGCCCCTTGCTGTGAGCTCATGGTCCGTGCTGACAGTCCAGTGCCGTGCTGGGGGAGTGCTGCACTGTCAGAGTGCTGTCCTTTGGCTGAGACGTTAGATCAAGTCCCGTCTGCCTGTTCAATTGCACACTAAAGATCTTGTGATCCTATTCAAAAAGAGATGGGCATTTCTCCAAGGCATCCATTCTCTAGATAAATGTTACCGTGCAAATAATAATTAATAATAATCCTTGTATTTGATATAGCGCCTGCACACGTTGTTAAGACATCTCAAAGCACTTCACAGAATATATTGCATAGTTATAAACTATCTGTTACTTTCCCCAATAAATGCAGTTACTGCACTTTACAGAAAACTCTGAAATGTTTTGCGGTGTTGTGACTCTATATGCGCGAATGAAAGGATTACTTATTAATTTTGACGATGGCTGAAAACCGAGTTCATAGTAGAGGAGTGTTCGTGCTCAGAGTTGTACTGTCTCCGAGCTGGGACTCCTGCTTAGAACTGACATTGGCATCAGTCTTGGCAGACAGGAAATCCCTGCATGCTAACAGCAGCCTTCATGTGCATTCGGTTTCCCAGCACAATGCAAGCGAATCTGCCAGGAAGATTAGCTCCTGACCACAGAGCTGCCATAAAGGAACTCTGGAGCCAGTCCTGAGGATGAGACTCACTCTTCATATTGTATTAATATAGGGCAGAGCCCTGCGCCAGGTCAACACTCAATAAAACAACCCTTTAACGAGAGGAATTCATAACATCAAATCTATCATTCTTCAGTTTGACGTGGATTGATTCATAGGTTGTTCAAGCGTTCTGAGATATTTGAAGGGAGCTGTATACGTCCTCTTGACATGAAAGGCACTATACAAATGTAATTTGTTGTTGTTGATAACAATGCTGTGTAAAACACTTTACAAGACTTTTGAACCGTATTGCAATAGCTGCAAGGATTTTTAAAAATAATAATTATTATTGTTGGTGAAGCCTGATTCGATCTGTTAAGAAGCAGTTTAGCAGAGACTGTCCAGACAAGCCTGGCTCCCAGCTGGCAGACACCGAGCTGCTGAATTTAGTTCGAATCTGTCGTGGTTTGATGTTACGTTTCCTTTGCCCAAACTCAGCCACGGTGTCCAACACTGCAGCTCAAGCCACTAGTAACACAGAGCGCACCAGGCATCTGAGCACCATTAGCCTGTATCTATAGATCCTCTAGTTACTCCACATCCCAATCCACACAGGGCATTACTGCACACATTTTGTTGCTGAAGGTCCTTTAATAAGTAATGTAGAATTAAGGACGAATGGCCATGAATGGCTACATATCCGTTTCCAGGATTCAGGCCAGGTTTTTGGACAAATACCCTGGTGGAGCCTGGCAAATGGCAGCCCATTGGGTTGAGTATTGGGTTTGGAAGTGGATCGCTGGTTGATCTTTCCCTTCTGTATCCCAGGGATTGCTGACACCAATGGTGGAGCTCCATCTTCTGCCTGGCTCAGACCAGCTAACTCTGTGCTGAGCCGGGATCTAACCAGATCCATTCTGTTCCCTCCACTGGGCAGGAGCTTCTCAGCAAGCCAATGAGGGGAGTTTCATTTATACACGTTATCATTACTGTAAACAGCAGATTAGGCGACATATATCCCCAGCCACAAGGTTCAAAGAAATGTCAATACTCCAGGCTTTCAGCTTCTAATTGACATTAGTCAGTCCAACATCTGTCAGTAATTTACTTTGTCAATTCACTAACAAATGCAATTGCACACATTTTGTAAAAAGTAGAATAAAACATTCTTGAACACTAAATAAGGTCAGACAATATTTATATTCAGCTTCCTGTCCACAGACCTCGATAAAAAGCCTCGTCAGAGGGACACAAAAGGTAGGAATTCTTAAGTATTTAACAACCTCCAAACTGTTGAATTCCCTCCGTTGATGGTTGGCCACATTTAAAATTCTGTCACTTTTTGTTTTTTATGAAATTATCATCACCGGAACCACATCCGCAATCGTTGGCGTCTCTCTCACAGAAACATTGTTTGTGTTTGACTTACATTCCTTCACCCCAGCCACCATCCACAGCAATGGCAATAACAGAAACAAGCCTTACATTAGACACAGCCTTTCGCACCAAGAGGACGGTTCGAAGTGCTTCACAGGATTTAATGTAAACAACAACTTGGGTCATATATAGCGCCCTTCTCACGGGGCAGCGTCTCGGAGAGCTGGAATGTGTAGTGACGGTGTATTTTGTAGGCAAAGTTTTATGGCTTTAAAGCTCCCCAAGGGCTGGGAAAGGTAATACAGGCCAGGCTGGTCTGCTGGTGCGGGTGGACAAAGGGGTGGTCTGGTCACAGCTAGACAACATGGCCGTAACTGGTGAGCAGGCTTAAGAATGACCAGCAACATCATCTCCTGATGGGAGACCTGGAGCCAGCAGCTCACTGACTTCACTGAACTGCGGGATTCAGTGATTCTGAAAAAGGGGCATAAAATCCCCATCATTGTTTCAAATTCTAAAATAGACCTTTCTCTATTGTCACAAGTTCCACGTGAGACGCTCCAAGTTAAACTGTGAATTCATTCATAACAGAGCAATAATCCCTTACTCAAATAACTCGTCAAAGCAAAGGACTATGTGAGATAGTTCAACAGAATGCTCTGCATCAAATGCAAGTACAATAAGGTGGCTTTCTCTTCCAGTCAGAAGCCTTTCAGTGAGTAAAGACAGAGAGAGAGCATTCCACTCCATCAGTCACTTCTGGATTCAGCTCAAGGCCCCAGGGGTGACAGACCATCCTGCTCACAGCACCACCAATCTCACCAAAACATGGCTCTTGGAGTCAGGTGGTCACCAGAATCCCATAAGACCCAGATTGGCTGACCTGCCTCTGAATGGGTGTTTATAATGCTCTTATAAGAGAAATCATTTGGTGCTAACTGTAAAACAGGCACAGCCTGGACAACAAGCCTGCTCTTAAACAGAGATCCTTTGTGGAACTGAAATAGACCACTTGAAAACCTTGGGGCAGGAGCTCAGTATTTTATAAAGCAAATGGAAAACAAGAACTAGCATTACTTAGTTTAACAATCGGAGATTCTTTCAGAACAAATAGCCATAATGATGGAGCTGCGTTCTGCTCTGCTGCTATGAGCTTATTATGCAGATGATTTTCCCAGGATTGGAATAAACCATCAGTTGCCATTCCTAAGGTATCATTATATGAAGCCTTTTAAAAACCATTAGGAATTTGTGGTTTCATTAAAGTACAAGACTCCATTCATTTTGCGTCCTTCAGATTTTACATATAATTGCTTTTCTGAGCAGCTGCGTTGCCCAAAGGTGGGGTGATGTTGGCTGCTTCGTGTTGAAATCCCATTTAAACACTAATCTACACTGCATGCGTAATTCAATGCAGCTGTAAGTGCGGGAGTAATGAAGGGTAGGGGAGCGGAGTTCCAAGTTAGGAGATGATTAATACGACTAGTGCCAAGAACTTTAAGTGGTTTTGATAGGAAACTGAATGGGACTCAGGTAACGTACGACTTAGGCAATTATACGATTTATAAACATACGACCTGTGCGAGTTTTACTGTTTTAGACAACATGGCGGTGACTGGTGCGAGTTTTACTGTATTTCTAAATGAAGAAATCTACCAAGAGTCAGTGATAGCAGCTCACAGCAAAGACGCTCATTCCACTACAGCTCAATCTCTGGTGGAAACAGATGGTGAGGCCACAGGGTTCAGGCTGAGTGGGCTGTCAGGATTATTTTAACATTCAATGTCACATTGCCTGGCTGCGTGCTGCGCGGAGAGGATGGGATCTGACCTTCAGGACGCAGGATGCAGGTGTGCTGGTTGTCACTAAGGAAGAAGCCCTCCCGACATCGGCATTCGTAACTCCCCATCATGTTGACACAGGTCTGCTGGCAGCCGCCATTGCTGTCTCCACATTCATCCACATCTGGAGGAAAAGTAATCAATAAAAACATCATATTTCGCCCACAAAAAACAGTCACTGCACTTTACAGTTTATCATCAAAGTGCTTTGAGACATCTCAATGACGCGATAAGCTACAGTATCAAATGCAACAATTACTGTTATTATCATTGAAAATTGGTGTAATTTTAGGATAAAAACTACACCTGCGTTTATGATTTACTGTATTCTCAGACCTTGTGCAATTTGGCAAATTCTTAAATGCAACCTTAGTATTCAAGCCATTCAATTGACACTCTGATTGGCCTGACTGAAGTCGGCTGCAAAATACCCAGTCACTACACTTTACAGTAAACACTGCAAAGCACTATAAAATGCTCCAAGACGTTATCTGCAGTAAAGGCACAATATAAATGCAAGTTGTTGCTGTTGTGAAAAATTGCATTGTTGGAGGTGCTGTATTTTGGATAAGACCTTAAACCGAGGTCTGCTCTGAATGTGGACATTAAGGTTCCCTGGCGCTATTCAAAAAGAAAAGGGAGTTTCTCCCGATGTCCTGGCCAACAATTCCGCAAATAAAATTGATCATTCCTTTCATGGTTGTTTATGAGATACTGTTGTTAGAAAACTGGCTGCCACTGGCAACTACACAGTCACTACACCTTACAGTATATCCTATGAAGTGTTCTGGGTTACTTCATTAATATGATAAAGCGTTGTGTCAAACATAATGCTGTCATAGAAAGACAGAGTCAGAGACAGAAATAAAACTCACAATACACACACACAGAAAGAAAGGTAACTACAAAGATTTACACTAAAATGTACAATGCGAAAACAGGTCACTTGGTCCAACCAATCTGTGTCAGCGTTTACTCCATACAAGTCTTCACCCACTCCTTATTCACTCCCACACCTTTCTATTCCCCTCTCCCGCATGCGAAGATCGAGCTTCTATCAAATCTACACTCTCTAATTCAACCACCACTTCAGACAGCAAGTTCAACAATCAAACTACCCTCTGCGTGAAGTAGTTCCTCCTAAATTTTCTTTCAGATCTCCAAGTCATTCTCTTATACTTGTGTTGGTTGCTTATGGACTCTTCAACCAGTGGCAAGAGCATACTTATAGGCAATTATCTATTTTTCCCAATGGAACAATCTTTTCGTCAGCCCTTAGCCAATTGTTAGTATTTAGCTTGCTTTGCAGTTTTTGATATTTTTCACGAGAACATTGTTTTTCAAAAGAAATGGCTTGAGTCTAATTCCCAATTGTCTTTCTTTTTATGTCAAAAATTGAGACAACTGGGGGAAAAAAGTTATTATTTTGATAAATAATAAAATAATCCTTGCATGTGATATAAAGCCTTGTCAAGTCATCGAAAAGTCTCAAAGTGCTTCACAGGATATACTTAAATTGTTTTTGATTGTTTATTTGTTGACAAAAAAAGAATTTAATGGCAATTGTTAAACCAGCTTGTTAGACCAATTTTTTTGTTGAAATTGTCTTCAAAATACCAGATAGAATATATTTCTGATTATCAGGGATAAGATCAACTCATCTTGAACCATTCAGGTTGGACAGATCCCTTTGAGACAAGGACAGACTGCAACCTATTTTAGTAGCGAGACTAAATACATCGAATGTTTGTCTTTGTTTTAAGCACTGGAAACAATTTGCATCAGATCCCTTTAATGCAAACAGATGCACATTTGTTTGGGAGATGGACTTTTGGAGTTTGAAGCTGGAAGGAATAAACAACCCGGCTCCCACCGGGGGTGGGGGGGGGTGGGGAGTGGGGGAGCACTGCCTGAAAATTAAATTAATATCACTGTGGGTAACAACAAACAATAACAAAAGCATGTGTTTATACAACCCCCTCATGTAGGAAAATGTCTCGGAGAGCTTCACAGGGACTGAGCATGGGGGGCGGGGGGGGGGGGGCAGAGGCGTGGTCAATGAGAGGTAGGATTTGAGGTGGGATTTAAAGACAGAAAGAGAGGACCGAGGCAGAGTGGAGGAGGAAGGGAGGAAGTTCCAGTGCTTAGGGATGTAGGAACTGAAGATGGAGCAGGCGGGGACATACAGAAAGTATCACTTGAAGGAGCAGATTGGAAATTGGATTTAAAAATTCAGGAACCCCCAAACACTGGAAATGTGGAATGGGATGGGAGTGCAGAGAAAGTGCTGAACATATTTTTAGTGTGGGGGTGGGGAGGGAGAGGGAGTTGATGGATATTGCCACTGAGACCTCTTAAGATGGCTTTGATGTAGGTTGATGTTATGATCACCTGGCCCTGCTCGCTCTTGGGCCAGGCTGCCCTCTCCTTGCATTCTCTAACACCTGGACGCAGCATCAGTTCTCAAACCAGCTCCAAATCAGGATCCAAATACCATGCGCATAGCCTTGATTTGATGTTGCCTGAACTAATCTGTAATTAATCTGAGGCAATTCCTTGATGTTTACCTTTTCACTGTTGCTCAGACTTCTCTGTCACCGACAGGAAAATACCCCACAAAATATACAGTCAATTCACTTTACTGTATATTCTGTATAATTCTGTGAAGCGCTTTGAGACGTCTCAATGATGTGATAATTCACTATATCAAATGCAAGGGTTATATTATACATTATAGGAATCGATCAGGCAGCAAGGCCAACCTGTCGTCCATTTCACTCACAGTAATTCTTAAATGCCCGTTTCCCGAAACAGACGCTCAAGTTAAAGCAAGCCTTTAAATCAGGCTCATGAATAGCATTGAGCAACTTTAAAAGCCACATCGCCCAGGAACAATTCCCCGTGCAGCAGAAATCTCTCACAACTCCTGACAAGCAATACATCTTTCAGTGAAATGTGTGTTCAAAGATCCAACATGTCAGTCAAAACGCCTGCAGTTTCACAGATAAGCCAAGCATTGCCTCTTCGTTCTCAATTGTTAACCCAATGGGTCAAATGGCCTGGACTCTTCCTCCAACTCACTCTGTCCCCGTTCTCATGAATGAGGAACTCCTCACCTCTTTCAATCTTTCCTTCTTCCAACAATCTACAATATGTCCCAGCAATACTTCAAACAGCGTATTATTCTTTCAAGTTAACAATGAAAATGTAAATGTGCTGACTGAACGATTGTGAACACACAAGGCAGGAATAGTATACCAACACGGCATGTAACAACAACCACAAATTATATTTGTTACAGAGCCTTTAGCGTGGGGAGGACATCGCAAGGCAATGTCCCACGTTCAATCTGTGTCTCAAGACTTTTTTCTTTGATCGTGCTTTCGGCCACCCTGCCACCTCCTCTATCCTCCACCCTTTTTGATTCCAACTCCCAGTTCGCGTGCAAACACTTAAATGTCCAATGACTTGGGACGTCCTTCCAATATGAGAGGTCCTGTATAAATGTAACTTTGTTGTCGTTGTTATGTCTGCCATGAGTTAGCTGATCTCAGTCCCAGCAGTGATGGGCTTCATCGACCAGTGTTTCTGCTCTTCTTGGCACTGCAGACACTCTGCCAATCCCAACAACAATAAGTGTGCACAGATGGAGCACTTTGTGCTGTGTAGTAATCCCTGATGAAGTGCGCTTGTGTGTGTGGGCACTGGGTGAGGGCAGGATTCAGGGTTGACTGTGAACTCGCACCAAATTGTGCATCAACGCTTCAACACAGGAACCATAGAATTGTTCAGCGCATAAGACCATTCAGTCCATCGTGCCTGTGCGGGCTGTGTGTACAAGCACTCAGTTTTGTCACACACACACGTCCGTGCGTGCGTGTGCGCGGAAGGGTGTGGGGGGGGAGCGGGGGGGGGATCGAACGGCTTCTCCCATTCGAGACACGTTGTTCAGACTGTGAAAGATTTAAGTGTTCTGATCGGCAAAAAAGCTTTACTCATTGATGCTCTCAGGCGTTATCCTCGGTGAAGGGAGCTGTGCCGATGCCATTTGCTGCTGTAGGTGGAGGGTCCACACATACATGTTAGTGCCCATTCATAGCCTTATGCTACGAGCCCTGCAGAGTGAACGTGCTCTCATCTGAAATCAATTTGCTTTTTACTCAGCTCGGGTTTCAGGGCTCTGTGTTCTCAGTGGTACCAGCCGGGGGAACAAAGGGCCACTCAGCCTGACCGAAGCCAAGGTAAACCGGAAACAGATAGAATCTGCCACAAACCCGGCACCATTTAACAAATAATCTTCCTGGAAGAAAAGCATGTTGTCATGTTTCACTTCTAATGTATAATCAATACCTGGTTTTAAAAGCATTAACATTACTCCCATTGCGCTGACCTAACTTGGGGCTTGGTTGGAACAATCTGCAGGACCTCAATCCTCTGTGCAAACATTTGGATAGTAAATGTTTGTATTAAAAACAGGCCCCCTGCAAGGGTTAAGCTAGGATCATCTTTTACTCCCATCCAGAATAAATTGCAGTTGAAAATCCTTCGTAAATCAGACACCACCTCTTTTAAGATCTTAGTCTCCTTTCCCCCCAGCACACAACAGGGCATGCAATCCTTTCGTTGGCTTTAATTACTTCTACAAGATCGACAACCATCTTTGCAATGGGTTTGCTACAGGTGTGCTTTTCAGCCTTCAGTCACCACAGTTACATTTATTCAGCTCCGGACTCCTCACAATGGGTGAGTGCCCTCCGAGGGGAGGAAGCAGACAGGTTGGCAGGGTGTTGCAGAAGTAGGGAGGAACAAGACTGTGGAGAGCTTTAAAAGCAAGGACGAGGATTTTGAACTTATCCTCTGGAGGATGGGGAACCAGTGAAGCCAGGTGAGGATGGGGAGGGTAGGGTCACAAAGCTTAGTGCGGTAGAGGACACTTGCTCTGAATTCTGAATAAGCTTCAGCTTGCAGAGGGAAGTGTTGGGAAGTCCTGCGAGCTGAGAGTTAGCTTAGTTGAGGCTGGATGTCATGAATACGTGAATGTGGTCTCGGTGGCCTGAGCCAGTCGTGGAGGTGGGCGATGTTGTGGAAGTGGGGAAGGCAGAACAGGCCAATGCACGGATGTGC